GGGGGGGGGGGGTGGGGGTTGAGAATCGCTCTGTAAATCGCGAGGAAAATGTTTTTAAAACCGCGTAAAAGCGCGCGGCGGGGAGATGAAGGGGGAGATCGACAAAGGTGTGATCGTGAAATTTACGGTAGTTCCCGGAGCTCGTAACTTCCCGAAATATAATACCGGTAACGGCGCGAATGGCGATACCTGCACGTCCTTCGTGAAGTAATTGTTCATGTGTAGGTGTATGGCAGTGAAGTTCCTCGAGTAGTCGAACTCGAAAGTTATTTCCACCGGACGTCCAAGCATGTTGGGTGTGTCGTTTCGCCAGCCGACCCATTCGTATCCTTGAACACAAACGGATCATTCGTTATTACTCACTTCGCAGCTTTGGAGAATCTTGAAAAAATAAAAAATAAAATAAAATGTGAAGTCGTGCCTGTCGTCGTTGGCTAAAACTATACGAGATGCACGCACTCTTGATCTCAAGCTAACTCGGAAGATCAATAAAATCTCGGGGATTATTACTGAATTTATAGTCAGAAGACGAGCTCTTTCGTTTACTCGAATCTTTTCTTAACAGAAGAGACATTAAAATAAATTTATCAGTGAAAAATCAATTCTGAACATTACTGAATAGCTGGAATGGATATAAATATACATTTAATTTTTATACATTAGATCTATGTGGCACTTTTTAATATTTAACAATAATTGGAGGTGTGTGTATATGTGTATGCGTGTGTGCTATATGAAATTCATCTTTTACGCACGGAGAGAACGTATCCAATAAAAATTGTAACCTATATATGTCACGTAGAAAAGTTCCAATACACGTTTAAATTAAAAAAAAAAGTTTTATGTTGCGGGTTGTATGATACGGTAAACCATTTATAGGTGCGGTGCACGCGCCTATAAACAAGACAATAAAATCTGTAACGCGAATAGTGGACAATTCGCGCGTGACATCGAATTTATTTGAATGTAGCGTAAACGGAAAACATATGCATGGAAAAAACAAATGTCTAACATTCCTATGGTAAATATGCGTCATACGTATTCCGTATCAAATACATAATAATGAGAAATGCGGTGAAAATTTTAAAAAAGTTGCAGCTTGTTAATGTTCAAATTCCAATTAGGGATAAATAGATCACGTAAAGTGCGAGCCGCGGGGAAAGAGCAGAAGTAAGAGATTTTATTTTTCCGCTAAAAACCTAATAAAGACTGATTTTCAATGAGGTAATACTAAAAGAAGTTTCGTATAACTTAAAGTCTTCGGGGAAGTACCCCGTGCTGTGCTGCCGTTTTACAACGAAGATAATTTAATATAGGTAACTCGGTAACTTAAATAATTTGCAAGCACGTGACCTTCGCAGTTTTCTTGGGATTTAAAGACATTTTCCTGTTATATAACGCCACTAGAAACCGTGCGGGAGTGTTCGCTTAATAGAATTTAAATTACCCGTTTCAGATTCGCAAGTTAAGCTCTCGCGTGGGACTCGTATGCTTCCCCGAAAACGTTAATTACGTTTCGAGTTTGTTTTCGTGCTTTCTGTTTCTCTCGCTTCATTTCTCCCGGAAATGTTCCGTTTGGTATACAGCAGCGCGCGAGAAGCGTGGTACGCGATACGGAAGAGTTTCGAGCTATGGAGCAGCCGCGGCGGGTTATTGCGCGAGTCTCGCCATTAGATCCCACTATATGAGTACATGTGGAAACACACGTGTCCCGCGGGAATATGCGGATTGAAAATGGACTGCAATAACCCTAAAGCCCGGCCGGCACGGCGACGTGTTATGCGTTTCTCAGAAACGCTCCTGTTACTTTCAACATTCGCACCGAAATCTCTAGCTCCGCCGCGTGGTCGTATTTTTCCATATGAATGGCCTATACACAAACACGATTTACCGCCATGCGTTACACTTGCTGCAATTAATAACGAAAAAAAATTAGATCAATAATAGAGCTGTTGAGCCAAGCTGGGTGTACGTGCTAATAATATGTGTTGACTGCGGTGGTAAACAATCTTTAATACCATATAAATAACTAATATATAAATTATACCAAACGTTTCGACCCTTTTATAGCAGTCATCCTAAGTGGGAATATAACGAATTAAATACAAAACTTACATTATATGTCAATGCATTCGCTTGAAAATTATATTTAAATTATAATTAAAATAATAAAGTATTAAAGGTAAAAATTGAATAAAGACCGTCAATATTAGAATTAAAATTAACTTACATTTATGGTTCGATTCTAAATTATTGTGTCAAAAATTGATATTCTCAAGCTGTTTTTGACACAATAATTTAGAATCGAATCGTAAATGTCAGTTAATTTTAATTTTAATATTGACGGTCTTTATTCAATTTTTACCTTTAATACTTTATTATTTTTTATTTTCTGTTTTACACGCATTTTTATTAAGATGACTACCCTTGTTTTACCTTTATACTACAATTTTAATATTCTTGATTTTATAATTAAATTGATTTGTATACATTATTTTTCTATGTATTTAATTATTTATTCTCAACCTTGATTGTTGCTTGGTGTGCTCTTTCTCCACAGTTACATGATTTCTGGATATTCAAATTTTAAATTTTAAATTTCAAATTTATCTGTAAGTCACACGGTTTCTAATACAAATGGACTAAGGATGACGTTTTCTAAAAGATCGAGACGACAAAGCAATAATTTTTGATAAAACATCAGATAAATATAATTTGCGAGCAAATGCGTTGACATATAATGTAAGTTTGCATTTTATTCGTTATATTTCCACTGAGGATGACCGCTGTGTAAAAGGGTCGAAACGTTTGGTATAATTAGTAGATTAGTTATATGATATTAAAGATTGTTTACCACCGTAATCAACAAATTATTAGCATGTACATCCCGCTTGGCTCAACAGCTCTATTATTGATCTCATTTGAATATGAGCATCTTATACGAGTATCTTATTAAAGATTGAAAAAAAAAATCGAACAAATCGCGTTTATTTATATGAAAAAATTACTTGAATATATTACTATTTAGCTTTGTATAGAAATTTTTAGATATTCAATATTCATTATTAAATTTCATTAACACTTTGATTTTTTAATCTGTGATTTTTAACAATTATGTATGTTTTTTATAAATCTACATGCAAGAAAAATAAAAATATTTCATTGTATTTATTTAATAAAATAATTTCTTTATTTTTATATTTTTATGTTTTTTTTCAATATATATTTACATAAAATGTTGACACATAAATCCTAAATGCCTTAATCCTAGTGCCTTAAAAATCCGTTTTATGCTATACATTTTTTTTGTCGTTTATCTTTGCTTCTCGATGAAATCTCTGAAAAGGGAATGGCACGGCTGCAAGCAGAAAAGAAAAAAAATGAAAGGACTCTTACAATTCCGAGTTCTCGGTGTTTTGTCGCTTCTGCGTTTCGACATCGTCGGGTGAGACTCGCGGGCTCGTCGTATTATAGCGACGTAAGAATCTTAGGGTATATTAAAACTTACGAGAATTTCAATCACGCAGTTTGCATTGTGTCGCCCGCACGCGACTTTGTGTTTGGATTCCTGTGCGACAACTACGATCGTCCCTTCCGTTTTCAACAATATACCGGGTTCGCGCGGTGGCGTTATATCGCCCTGACCTATCCGCTTTCATATAGCCCCCTTCCTCCCTTAATATCGTCCCTCGAGTAAATAGTTTCCAGTTTCCTGTCGTCGCCGCCTTCGGCCGCTATCTACCATCAATTCTCAACCTTCACGAGGATCGTAAGATAACCACGCTGGGCATATACCGTACCAACACCTACGCCGGTTGATGATTTTCCCCTTTAAAGCATTTCGGGAAGGACTGTATAGTTACGAGCACACAATGCTCGTAAACCAGAAATAAGGATGACCACGAGCTGCCAACTACCACAAACGTTTCATCGATACTTTAGAAAACAAGGCGAGAAGTTTGTTACGAGAATGTTATGTTTTAATCGATGTAGATAATTATAGTACGTAAGTTTTCCCGTCGCAGCATTGAGAAAGTTTTCTTTTACGATATTTTGAGAATATCTCGTAAAATTATATATCACGCGCGTTGTTTTGATCGCTTTTTACAAATTTTTAGATATTCCAAAAATATGATTTATATATATAATAAATAACTTCTTACACATATTTCTAAAATTTTCTTCCTTTTTTTGCTACTTGCACGATTCTTCCTTACATATTTCTCAAGTATTTTTAAAAACTTTCAAATGAAGGCGCCGTGCGCCGGTGCAAATATCGATCTCGAGTGAAAAATTCGTCTCGACTAGGCAGGAATATCGGACGACGGTGTTTCCCGGTTTAAAGAGAGTCGAGAGAAGTTGTACGCAGTTTTGCCGGGTTTAAAAGTTTAAGAAGGCGGAAGTACGACGGTGTATCCGAGTGTACCGTGCGGCGGCGAGGCGGTGTCTCGTGGCATAAATGGAAAGACACAAATGTATCCAGAAGGCGAGTAAACAGTGGCGACTGGTTGCAGCCTGGCTCGCGGTTCAATATAAATGTAAATTGGAACAGATTCGAGCGGGCGCTGTGGAACACGTTTGGCTCCGGAGCCCAAGCTCTTCCACTGGCCCTCTCGGCTTTTCTAGATTCTACTGACCCTTTCGACTTTCTCGTTTACACACCTACACACCTGGAATAGACCGACGGGAAAATTTCATTTTCATTCTGGCGTACGCGCCTCGAAAACGGACGCATCGTCGTATAGGCGACGACGAATATTGCGCCCGGTCAATCGTTCGAAAAACCGTTTCCGTACACGAACACATCCTTCTCAATTAAATTTTGACGGTCATTTGGTTTCCTGAATAAAATCCATGGGTATCCATAGAACAGTTACTATTAGTTACCACAGACGATATGTTACTTCCAGTCGATGTCACGTGCATTAATCATTGCTTCATTAAATGGGGGAAAAACACCTTTCCGGATTGGTCAAATGTAATCGAGTAAATCAATCGGAAGGTAAGCGCGTCTGATCAAGAAAAAAAGAAATCTGTTGGCACAGTAATGTGTGCTTTTGATGCATAAAATCAAGCGAATGAAAACACGTGTAAATTGAAAATTCATGAAATAACGAAGCGAATATGTCCGTTCTAAAGCGGAAGCTATCCGAGATATTTTAACAGAATTCTCGTCGCGCATTCACATATTTCAAATTATATGCGCTACGCTAGGAGGAATGCATTTCACTACGTACAATGCGACGCTGATGTAGTGTTTTAACATTATTTTCAGATACGCTTTGTGCGTGCTCATATTTTATTGCTTAATTTGTTCTTATTTCGCCGCGTACACACTAATAGGAGTGTAAGACGCTCCTGAAACAAGAGCGTATAATCGCTCGAAGAAGGCGCGGTGCATTGCAGTGCCGCGCGTTTACAAAATTACAACAGGCGTTACAACGGGGGCCGCGAGCCGCTGTTTAATCCGAGGAAAGAAGTTAACGAGTGAGATAGCGTGATATACCGATAGATTAAGAAGACTAGACGGTTGGCGGGCAGGATATCTCGCGGAGGACGGCTCTATCACGCTAATCTAGACACGATCTAACGCCGGCGCTAATCTCGTTCCAGCACGAAGCATGCAGTCCCGCGCCTTACCCTTTCCGTTGCCGCTGACGTCCAATCTGAAGTTGTCCGGACCCTTTTGCCCGTCGACAAGTTGACCAAGTCCCCCGGAGAGGTAACCCGCTTCTTCGCGGCCGTCGTACGTCCTGTCGGAGAGGTCAACCTCGGAGCCCCTCTTGATTCCTTGGGGCATGGAATACGAGACGAGACCCTCTGGAAGAATAAGGAGAAGCCGGATATAAAGAATATATAAGCTCCTGAACTATGCATCATCACGTTGCTACGTGGTACGGGCCATGAACGTTTTCCTCCCGACAGTACGTGATAAGATTGCGGACGGTTACGGGTAAAGCGCACGTCGTCGGGAAGAAGTAACGAGGGTCAACATTTTTAATCTTGCTACTCCGAGGATTACCGGGATCGATCTAAGGCGGTGCCATGCAATAACCAAGCTAGAAACTCTGTACTTTGACGTGAGATCTCACCGATCACGACGTCGATCTCTCTCTCTCTCTCTCTCTTTCGTTTTGCAACGTATCGCGCAGTCTTCGTTAAAAATGCGTCGTAGCAAGCGACTTATGTCAGAGCAAAATGTACTCCTGGACTGTCAGACGTCCATAAGCACGAATGAGTTACACGATTTAGTACTTGGGAGGGAACTTGTCGCGCCGCGCTCGCTCACACCAGTCGAGTATTTTTTCGTTTAATGGCGACAAATTGTTTTTACAGATTTCAGTATAAAATACGCACAGAGATATACTTCTCTCGGACACTTTGCGTTTTCAACTATTTACGCGAAAACGGTTGAAAAAGAGACCATTTTTGATTAACGCACCGAGAGAATGAAAAATCGATTCGATTTGCGTTGGCTTTTTCATCGATGAGACTGGAAATAATAAAGTGTCGAGCGTATTTATTGTATAACCATCCATTGCAGTTTTATTACCGTCGACGAGACAATAATGATAAAGCCTTTACCGAACGTGGAAAGTATCTCATTACGATAATTGTAGAACATAATTCTACGTCTTCTCCCTTCCATATATCTTCCTTCTGCCATTTGCATGGCTACGGTCCTTTACCCGGTAATGGCCCGAACGTTTGTTAATGCCATTCGTAAGTTACAATTTATTTTGCAAGTCAATATTATTGGCAGCCGCCGTAATTGTGCGTTTAAACGATATAACGATGGCTAGGGACTACGCGGGATGGCACAGTTAGCGGCTGCCGCATAGTTCGTCGTGGTTGGATTAATGTAGACGCAGCTGTGGCTCACGGCCGACGGTGATCGTAAATCTATGTTAATCTCAGATTCGGGAGAGACTGACGCGTTACATCGGCGTCTTGTCAGATAGCGCGAAAGGCTCGACGATTCACGAAAATTCAAGTTCAAAATCTTATGACAAACAAAAATGTGAATTAATTGCACGCGCTTCAATCACATTATCATATATATATCTTTCTAAACGACAATAACACTAATAAAATTATTAAAACTTTCTTATTGTAGACATGTCTGTAGATTTCGTGAACAGGGAATGAAAATAAAGATCGCGAACTTTACGACTAAATCTGTACATGCCGAATACTGATATTAAATCATGTGAATTTTATGACTAAATCTATATTTGCCGAACACTGATTATTAAATAAAAAATTCCCATCCTCACTGTTCCTTTTTCTATACCTATTTCTCTTACCTAACACAAATCTAAGTTACTATTAAAATAGTGCAGTTGCAATTTCTCGTCAGAAAGTTGCGGGAAAATGGACTACATAACCAATGTAACATATAAAATGCATGATGACACGCAAGCGATTCCAAAGGGAGTTCTACCGCTTGTTTTCAATTTTATCTTCCCAAGTGACAGATGTGGTGGTGTAGGTGCCGATGAAATCACATATAATTGGCTTTACTTATATATAGCGTAAAATTGATTAGCCCCGGTAGCTATTAACACGACATAGTAACGACTCTCTAATTTGATAAAAAAATATCAAATTATATCTTTTTACATCTCGAATAATTTTATATATCGCATCACCATTTTGCGTGTAGCACGTTAGCGATAAAATTTTTCAGATCGGCCAGAAATATATATATTTTTTTCATTTATTTGCAAGTAGTTAAAATTGCAATAAAAAAATATATGGCAAATTATGGGTTGAAATATGTCGATCCAACTATATTTTCGTCGCCTGCGAGCGGGGTGGACAGCGAGCTGCTTGCAAATAAATAGATGATGGAGAAACATGATAAAAAAAGGAATATGTCCATATATTTCACTCACCCGTCCACGAACAGCCGTAAAGCTCTACGCGCATACATACTGTACGCATATGAGAAGTGTAAGGGATAAAGCGGATTTTCGTTGCGACTATAGCCGGATCGAAGATCTGCTCCTCCTCCGAATATGGATTGTTGTTGCCCACCAAGAGCTGCAACAGACAACAACAAAGCAATTGTTAATACGCCGTACCTACATATAGAGAAAAATTATCGCGACAAAGGGGTAAGAGAAATATGGCAATGTTACCGAGAAAAGCTGCAATTTGAATTCAACAATTTGTATCACCGCTGCATACGATATTTTTGCTGAAACGAGGAGTTTTTATGTTACCATGTATACACAATGGAGACGCACGGTGAAATAGTTAACTTTAGTCACACCCAGATATTTCTGTTCCGGTTGAAAAGCAGGAAAACAAGCGCGCATTTCATATAGCATCTGGTATAGAACCTGTTTTTTTGCGCTGTGCGTATTTTTTTTTAGTTTATTATTCAGAGTATCGCGAATTTTTTATACTATACAATTTTCCAAAAGATAGCATTGAAAAACACACGTTTTTAATTCTATTGCTACACGGACTACGTATGACATGTTCAAATACTTCGACTGTAGTGATTTTATTTTATTTTTTTTTTCGTTCAAAACCTATTCTACTGTTTCAATCTCAAAATGCCATTTTATTTCTACGCTTATACGATTTGAAAAGTGTCAAAATAATATCTTGAATTCGATCGCAAGTCAAAGTTTGAGGGAGGATAACTGCGATTTGTTCCTCACGATGTAGGAGAACATGTGCGACGGTTGCGTTTAGGGATGAGACCGTCCGACGTTCATTGGAACATGTTTACAGCACTAAGAACGAATCTCACGGGCCGGAAGCGCCATTTTCTGGATCCGATTAGTAAACAATGGTCCGTCGTGAACCTCCTCTAAATGTAAATGCAAGCGTTAAACCTGGACTTGGAAGCAGGCCTCCCTTTCCTCCCTTCTCACTGCCGTCGCATACACATTCGCGTAGCTCACATTGTATCGCGTCGCAGAGACGTACATAGATCTCGTCGCCATCGACGAGCACCAGATTAACATTGAAATACGAACGTCAGTGTGCCCGTCCGAGGAAGAGATCAAGCTCGCCGATAGGATCGACCAGGTTGTTTGAGAAACAAGGTCTTAAATTCGACATACGTGTATATTACCGCGTGTACTGATAGACATGTTAGGGATAATAATACTGTATCTGCACCCGTGTTCGCTTGGAGCGCTATGTAATTCAGTAGCTGTATCTGTAGCCTGTTCTGTTTTGCATTCTGAGCATTTGGACGGATTAGCGGTTCTCATCTCCCGTTATATTCGCGTCGTAAAATTTTATCTGTAATTACAAGCTTATCTCGGCGTCCTAAAACAGTGATAATACGCGACGAATGATAATACCATTAAATAACATAGCTGTGACCTATAAAAGAAGATTTTCTATGATAATATCATTAATATTTATTTTTTAGAAAATTATTTAATTTTCTAAATTTTTTTCTTTCCCTGTTAAGATAAGAAATTGACAACTACAGCAAAGTTTTTATTTTTATTTTTTAATTTAACTGGTCAGAAAATTGGTTTGGACAGGTTGATATATCTGTTTTCATATTTACTCCATGTACTCTACAAAATAGGTAGAATGGATTGAGTTTGATAGCTGTTCAAACAATTATTTATATTCAATTTTATATGCTCTTTCACATGCTGTAATCATTTTTCTAAGATCACTATTTATCAACTCTATTATCTTTAATTCTGTTATCAATAATTTTATAATTTTATTTGTGTGTGTGTGTGTGTGTGTGTGTGTGTGTGTGTGTGTGAATTTTATTTTTGTTACTTTTTACTTTCTTTTTTTAACGAAAATTCATTTTATTATAATTTTTCCTGGTCTTTATTAAGTTCTTTTTGTGATATGTTATCTTTAATAATAAATATATAAAAAATTAGTTGGCAGTTGATATGTAGATATAGATTGTAGATTGTATAGATACTATATATAGATTATAGAATTTATAAGAAAAATATATAAAAAGTTAGTTGGCAGTTGTCTTAATTTTTGTAAGATTTTTATAATTATTTTCATAATAAATATGTATGTATATAAATTTGAAAATAATTATAAAAATCTTACAAAAATTAAGACAACTAACTTTTTATATATTTTTCTTATAAATTCTATAATCTATATATTGTATCTATACAATCTACAATCTATATCTATATATTTAATCAAGAGACACAGTGACTTGGTGTCAAGTGTTTAATTCTAAAAATTGTCATTCACGTTAGTATCTGTACGAAGTAATCTGTATCGCTGTATAGATTATAGAATCGTGTAGAGAGTGAACATGACACGTTGGATCGTCCAAACACGCTGACCGTCGTCATTCCGGAGAGCAACGGGCTCTGCGTTGAAATATGAATATTCGCGCGATACCAGTCATGTCTCTCCCTCTCCTTCACTTCTCTCTCTCTCTCTCTCTCTCCTCTCCCCTCTTCTCTCTCTCTTTCCCTTTCTCTCTCTGCACCGAAAACCGAGTGCGGTCTAAACACCGTGCACTAGCAGAGTAGGTATGACACAAACGCTAATATGCTCTATATACAGAAACGGACCGTGGCTCGAGCTGAACATCAGCGACCATTGGCCTTTGCTTTGATTTGTGTTACTGGCGGTGCCGCGATTAGAATTTCTAACCAGGAATCTGTTATTTCGCGTTAATCATATAAAGCACAGTACATCTGATGTCCATAGTCGCCAAGGCAAAGGTCGAAATTCAGAACGTTTGCGCGACCGGTAGAGCGGCGTTTCAGAGTTTTAGAATGATAGAGTATAGCGACATTATTTTACATGTTATATCTCGACGCTATTGTTATTTCTGTATTCATTTTATGTACGCGCAGCCTGCGTTCTCTTTTATTGGAAAATAAGACAGACAAGATTGTAGATTAACAGGAGTATTATGTAAGATAAAAATATTAAAAATAGAATATATAAGTTATAGAATAAAGTAAACTTGTAAAATTACTTCAAATTTATTTATCTGAATACAATTTTTATTTGCGCTATCACGAGGACACTTAATATTAGTAGAATCGTTAGCATAACACATTTCATAGAAGGTATAGAAAGTCCGCAGCTGTAAACGGCCCACGAAGTTGTAAACGGCACGCAAATGGAACGTGCCTCTTGAACGGTGGGCCGCAACGGCGGAGTGGAGTTTCCGCTATATCGGCCGTCTCGAAACGACCGACCGCGGATGCATTACAACTGCAACTGCAACGTGCTGGAATACAAGCCAGAGCGGGGGTCTACGCGATAGGAATAATTAATACACCTATATATAAGGACCGCGCCACGGGGTAAGAGACGCTTCTACGATATCGTCGCACCGACACATAAAATTGATGTCTACGCTAGCGGCAAGTAGAATCTCCTCCCGAACGCTTTGCCAAAGTCTATAATTTGTCGGCACGAAGCTGAGAATAGTCTCGATTATAGACATCACCATATCTAAGTGACGTTTCTGATAAGATGTCTATGAATAATTGAGGGATATGTATAATATATCTATATAATATATTACATCTACATATAATATTCTATATTGATATCATCTATTGATATTAACTTGCTTCTAGTTCCTTTCATATACATGTATATGTATACACATAATGGTTGCATACAAAGTTTTTAATTGTTAATTGCTATTATTCATTTAATAGTTTTAAAATAATAGATTGAAACTTATCTTAGATTGCATACTTTCTATATCGAGTTAAAAATGATACCATTAAAATTTCCTTTATTTTCTTGTTTGTTGTGGAAAATGATTTTCGTGTTTTTCGCGAAAATATTGCTGGTCATATCAAAATACGTTTTTAATAACTGTTGTGATTTTTTTTCGCATATGGCGACTATTAAATATAATCGAAGATAAAATTTTGCGGTGTCGTGACGCTTATTGTTGAAATCCCAAAAGTACTTCACTCGTAATACCGGATAATGCGATTGTGAAGTGACAGCTGTAAAAAAATGTTAAAAATGGACGTTGTAGAAATTTTACAGGATTTCACGCTGTTACAATTATACATATATGTATATTAAATTCCGTGCGCAGTGCTTTTTAATTTTAGTACATTTCGGCGTTAAAATTCGCATCGTATTGCAATACAATATATGGACGGACTTTTACGTGTTTTTTTTGTGTACAACTAATGCCATGGATTTCGCTTACATCGCAGGACAGTCGACCTCGTTTCGTCTCGATAATAAAAAGTCTTACACCTTATCCTAAGATCACCTTCCACTCTTAAGCGAAAAGAAACAGTTCTCAGGAGAGAACCTGATCGATCGAACGTATTTCGGTGCAAGACAACGAAAGAAGGAAAGTTTATGTTACGCTTGCGCGTTTATGGGCCACCTTCGCCTCGAGCCGCTTGAGATTGCCCCGTTTTAAACGCGACCGTACCATGTGTTTTAAAACAATTATAGATATACCAATTTTGCGATCAACGATCTCTTAAAACTGTAATTTTCCACGTAAATGAAAATCGTTCCATCTACTCTCGCAGTTTTTTTTTTTAACGCGTCTCGTAACCACTCCATGCAAATCGTCGCAATCATCTCTGACTATTAGAAAAATTACCCTAGTAAAGTAACAGAAATGTTGATTGCTGTTTCAAGTTTTCGAAAAATAATGTCACGATAATTTTGTCCATTTATTTAAATAGTACATTTAAATTTATTTATTTAAATAATATATAACTTCATATGAAAACCAGGAGATGCGCCAAGTTTCTTTCGTTTCATGATTATATTATAATATACGACTGAAAATTGACATAGGATTATTATTAGAATCAATGATATACTAACTTAAGATGGCTTTCATTAGCTTGCCGAGGTCAGAAGGTCGAAGGCAGGTAACTCGGGCAGACGGATCGTCTTACGGAGGCGAAAAAGCAGAACGGGCTTACGCGGCGCGTCCTATTTCCGCTCGCCCGGCGTGTAGGCAATTACTTCCCCGGGGCGGCCCTCGTGGAAAGGAGACTGCCTCTAATCTGTTTGCGGCCGAAATCAAGCTCTCTGCATTCCTCTAATGAAAGCTGTTT